TCCTGCCGCATTTATAGCACGATTTGTTATGGCCCATCTGCTGATATTTATTGACCACGCGTGTTATATTCCCCGCTGAAAATTATGCCCTCCTGACAGATTTCCCCGGCCCTTTTGGTTGATTTGGTCTCCATTTGAGCTACCACTTCTTCCGCGTGTTGTTTAAATGTTGCAATTGGGGTTGCTGATGCTTCAAACGGATTTGTTTTCATTGTTTTTTTTGGTTCTATATCTTTCTCTCTCCTGATTGCGTTTTCGTACTCGACCTGTCGGGATCTAGTTTCTGTCAACAGTCTTTCTGCAATTTTCTCATTTGACATGTGAGCTGTGAACATGTCGCGGACCCATTCATCGTCTCTATCTCCAAAGTCGGCCCATGAGGCCAACTCAACCACGTTCGCGTGGAATTATTCAGCGTCTCGTTTTTGCGTTGCTTCCGACATATGAAAGTGTATCGTTCAAAAGCTAAAAATCTTGTGACTACAAATATATCTTCCAGCATTCGCATCGGATATTTCTAATTGACGTTTGAATGTCGAGTCTTGTTCTCTTCTGTTGGAATTGTCGTTGCCCCTCTACTCCCAGCATAAAAATATAAAGCTTCTTATTTTGGCGTCCGCGACATCCCAGGGTACGTTGTTGCATAGCAGACCCTTGTCTCTGTTATTTTATCACGTTGTTTTCCCAAGTTACTCTTTTTTCTTGGTTTCTGATATCTCCATTACGTTTTTTTGCTTCTGTTTCTCTATTGAATTCAATCTTGTAAATTATTTCAGTTGGTTCTAACACTAGAAGTTTTGTTCTTAGTAAAAATTTTACCTCTATCCCGTCTTTGGCAAACACAGCCATCTCCGTCACAACTGCCCACCTTCACCATTTCAGTGGTGGTTCTATTGATGCCTTCTGCTAAAATGGTGGAATACTCAACGGGTTCTGATATCCCGCTGACTGCACCATGTCATACCGTAACGTAGGAGCTTTTCTAGAATCGGAACGGCTTGGCTATCGTAATCTATGTAACTCTGACTAAGAAAAGTAACTGCGCATAATTCCGAATTCAACACCAAATGAATGGTATCGTTCAGCCATCTGATAATTTTTTATCAGTCAAGGACATCCATTTGGTCTCTGACTAACTGTATACAAATATAGATACATAATATTAACTCTTGCAATCCGGCCGGATGACACCCCCCCCCCCAAGTTCCCTCCACCACGTCCCCCCTAAGCCCCCTAAGAACATATTATCTAACTTAAGTTCAACATTATTATGAAAAAATGAAAGAAGCACACTGAAAGATTTTGATAAATGGATTATAAATCATTAAAATCAAATAAAATTGATAAATTTACTTTTTGATAAAATTTTTGAAAATAAGTCGAAAATAATCTTTTATAACCGATTATATTGGGACTTTATTGCTCAAAAAATGGTATCATTTTAATACATTTTTAATCGATTATAATAGATTATTTTTGTTGTTTTATAGAGACTGACAATGAAAATCTAATATAATCGATTGTTTATGCTGAGAAGGAAAAAAAGCCATTTCGATATTCAGAATTATTTTTCAAAATTTCTCCGTATCATCACACGGACGGTTTGAAATACATACCATGTCGCGAGGACAACATTTGCGCGAAACCGACAATTAAATGGGGAAATATCTGTACCTTAAATTATGGAGGGCCTCTCTATAAGTTCAAATGTGGAACGACGGAACCAGAGTGTGTTTACGGCATCGCGAGTTGCTGGGCGAGTAAAACACGATTTTAATGATGGCAGTTACTTTGTAAAGTTGTCGCGTTTTCTGGACTGGATAGCGTTTTCTGGATGTATATTCACAACCCAGACGATACAGAAATAACACCTGCTAAAGATTAGATAATTGAACTTGTTCTATTTTAATAATGTGACTGATAAACTTTAATAAAAGTGAGATAATTAAATCTAACAAACAGAAAATCTTTTCGTATCGGGGATCTAGGAGTTTGTGTCTTGAAACGGGGGTGGAGCTAATTAAAAAAAATCGAAAAATTTGACCTTTTTTGTAGGTCGATCTAATTGATATTTTGAGCTCTCCGGAAGCAGACTAAAAAATGACTCTGTTTTGGCAAAGTTTTTGGCGCCGCAGATATTTAAAAAAAACAGGCCAAAAAGGTTGTTTCTAGGCTTTTTTTGCACAGATTGAACCAAAAAATCACTTTTTTTGGCTCGCGCAACCCCTTAAACTAATATAATGGCGCCAAAGGCGCCTAAGAAGAAGCCAAATCCGCCTAAGAAAAATCTCTAAAGGACTTAATTTGGTGTCCAAGGGAGGAACTTTTGGATCCTTGTTCCTATTATTAGAAATTTAATGAACATTACGAGATCAAATTCGAGCTTTTTTGAAGGTGAAAAAAAGTCGAGCGAAAAAACTACTAATCGAATCTCAACAATGATTACTCAGTAAAAGCTGGAACCTTTATGTTCTACTGTATCAATAATATCAAAAACTAATTAAAGAAAACACCAGCTCAAAAAACTATAGATTTCTTTATCGAAGATTAAATTGTATGTTTTGACCCAATATATTTTCGGATGCAAAAAATGAAAACCATTTCCTACGTTGTCAAACTGTACACTGTATAGGCGCACAATTTAATGTAGGTCTCCCGAATCTAGAGACAAGTTTTAAAAGATGTTAAAATTTTGCTGGAATGATTAAAGAAAACGAAAGAATAAAGTTGGATCAAAGAGAGCATTCTTGATGCTGAATCCGCTCATAGGTCTCAAAAAACACTCGTAACGTTCGGTAAAAGTTGCTTACAAAGTACAGGATTTTCAAAAGTTTATGAGTTGATCAAACCTTCTATTCTTACAATTGCTTTAGAAGACAAAAATCATCTCGCACAATTTTTTCTATGATCGCAGTAGTAATAATATTTGAAATATCTATGATAAACCATTTCTTTAAACAAAAATTTTATGTCCCAAAAATTCTTTCTGAAAATTAAATAAAGATGTTTCGAATCTCTCATTTATTGTCCGAAAACCCAAAAACCGAGGATTTTCCTAAATAGGAATAATCACCGCTTTAGTGACAAAGACCTTACAGATGAACTCTCAGTTGCGATTCGGAACATGAGCCAATAACATACATTTGAAATAGCCATCATGAGCCATAACTAAAAACCGTAGTTTTTTAAACAACTCGAAAAAAATTACACGATAAATGAAGTGGTAGAAAGTTACGCTTGTTCTTGAGAGCCTTTATCTTGTTTGCTTGAGAGCCTTTATCTTACGAATAGAAAAAAACCAATAATTAATAATCTGGTTTCACACAATTCTTTCTGGAGTTATATGATGAGTTTTTTTGTGTACCCTGGTTGACCAAAAATGCTTGTCATACAATATGTGAAAATGCTTGTCATACAATTTTGTACAATTAGATGCAGAAAATGTTAAGATAAGCATTTTTCATAAATGTTGGAAATTGTTGGAAAAGAAGGGACCTCAAACAAGGCTAGCCAGTTCCCGTGAAAAAAGCACAGAATGTTCCGACCATATTATTTAAAAAATTTCTTTTCTTCCTTGTAGTGCCGTTTTTATTGCCTTGTGTGATTAGATAAACTATATATATTCGCTTAAAAAGCTAGTGAGTTTGAAATATTCGAAAACATTTGCCTGCAAAGTGAAGGACAGACAAAAAAAATTTAAAAGATATATTTTATTTTTCTTTTTTCAAATCTTTTGCAATTTTGTTGTAAGCATTTTTTTAAAATTCAAACCTTCGTTGCCAAGGAAGCGCTAAAAACTTCCAAAAATTGTTTCTCAGAAAAACAAATTGTTTAGCCTAAGTTCTAAAATAAACACAAACTTTCATATAGCAAACGCTACTTGAGCTCTTTATTGCTCGAAATTGAACTAAAACTCAAAAGTTCAACGCATGAGTGAGAGTGCTTCAGATTGTTATAGCACTCGGCCCTTTCCAATAATTGAGTTTTGTGTCTTTATGAAACCAGTTTGTGGTTTTTTGATCTGATTCTTGGATCATGATGGTGGGCTTTAAGCGCTAGGGGCTACCATTTGACAAGCATAAACCGCAGTTATCGAAGTTTTCTGATAAATGTGCCGGCTTTGTATAACGTTTTGCATCTGTGGGGAACAAACAGACACAATAAGTCAGAAAAAGGCCGTTTGAAGTTTTATTTGGATTTTATTTATTTATTTATTCAAAGTTTATTGGGGAATGTGATCAATCATTTGGTCGGAAGGAGTCAAAGTCTCGCGACTAAGCTTGTCTTTTTTTTCTGAGACGACACCCTTCTTTGAATTATAAGGTTTGCATCCCCAATTTAGCATTTTTGCATTAAAAATATAATTTTCTAACGTTTTTTTGAATTTTTTTCTTCAAGTCAACGCTTGATCTTTCATAACAAATCTGTTGAAATACGTTATTGAAATCGAATTTACATTGTTCGTCATAATGGCACTGTAATTGACCAGTTATACGCCTGAGAATAGGTCTAAAATTGCTAATTTCTCGACCAAAAACAGGTGATTGTTTTTAAAAAATGATCAGGAACAAATTTTCAGACCAAGTGAGATCCAGAATGAAATATTGCACTTCCGAGCAGCTAACGATTTGTCCATTTGCAGGTGCCTTAAAACATTCGTCACCCTCCTTTGCAAGAAGGTAAATTTACAAAAATAATGGACAATTTAGTTCAACCTAGTTTTATGTCAAGCTCATTGAATTTACAAATGCTACTTAAACAATAAAGACTTAATCTGCCTTACACTTTTGAACAGTATAAAAATTTCGACATAATTTTGGAAAATTCGTTTATAGGTTTTTGACAAAAAATTCATTCATAGGTTTGTTTTTTCGCAGCCCAAAATTAGCATACTTTGTTGGTTCAGACAAAATTTTACGTTGAAAAAGGGTTAAAATTAAATGCCGTCTTCAGAATAGTAGGTCCTGTCACCCATCAAACCATCTCAGGTGAAAGCTTAGTTAAAACAATATGCAACAGATATATTTCAGATATGCGGCAAACAATTCATTAACGGCAACTAAAATATTTCCGGATATTCAAAATAGATGCCTCATTTTTTTTGTTATAATCGTTTGAACCTGCACCATTTTAAACTACCATTTTGGAAACTTCTATTTACCAAAGCTGGATTAAATTGCGCTATTTTTATGAAACATATATTATCTAATCACTGACAGTGTGTTAGTGTATTAAAAATGAGGTCTAGTTGCTTTTCATATGAAATTTTTTTCTGACTAGATTTCGAGCAAATTTATAAAAAATGCATAGCGGTTTTTTAACTACAAACACACGCACACTTGTCAACTCTAGATCTTTTTGATCACAGAAGAATATTTATCTAAAGATGTTTAAAGATGTTTCATTAAAAACATATTTTTAGCTTCTGTGTCAAGTTTAGCAGCTTTTTTGTGAAAGTTGTAAAATTTACCAGATTGAGGGTAACTTCCCATTCTCTGTTGAACTTTTTAGTTCGGGTTTCGTATTGAATTTTGTTCACGTTGCTCGTAAAAATGCATTCAAATTTATTTCTTTTTGGTTGCTGGTGTTTTTCTGTTATAGTTCGTTCGTGATAACTTCAACTCTGGGTTTTGTTCACACATTCCGAAAAATATTCTTCATGTTTATTTAATTCTTGGTTAATGATGCTTCCTGGTTCCAATGAGTTTGTTCATACAGCGTGATCGTGACCCGCTAACTTTTCCCCGTCACTCAAAGTGGTGTTTAGGGAGAGATCTTTCACCCAATTGGGTACTTTTCCCAACAACAGACTCTGTCTTTTCCAGCTGCTTTGACCAGAAGTGAAACAGACGTTTTGTCCCAAGTCACGTGCGTCTGTTAATAAAATACTTAAGGTTTAGTTAACAAATTCATTAACGAGTTTTGAAGCATTTAAAGTTTTTATCTTATGTTGTTTCACAAATTTTGTCTTTTGAGTCTCCAAATTCCTCAGAAGGAGCGCTTTTTGTACTCGCCTGATAATGGGAGTGTATCTTATTGATTAATTGATACCATTTGCACTTTCAATGAATTCTGAAGTCTGATAAGTTCCCTTTTGCAAAAATAATTCGAGTCTTAATTAGTGTTTTTGTCTTATTTAGTGTTTTTTTTTCTCTGTCTTAATTAGTGTTTTTTTCCTGTCGTAATTAGTGTTTTTTTTTCTGTCCTAATAAGTGGTTTTTTCTGTTTTAATTAGTGTTTTGTTTTCTGTCCTAATTAGTGTTTTTTGTCTTATTTAGTGTTTTTTTCTGTTTTAATTAGTGTTTTTTTTTCGTCTTAATTAGTGTTTTTTTTCTGTCTTAATTAGTGTTTTTTTTTCTGTCTTAATTAGCGTTTTTTTTTCTGTCTTAATAAGTGTTTTTTTTTCTGTCTTAATTAGTGTTTTTTTTCTGTCTTAATTAGTGTTTTTTATTTTTTTATTCTGTAGCATACTCACCTGTGGTTCCATCCATGTAATACAGGATGTAGAAATTACACATCTCGTCATCAGCAGTCGGCCCAATCCGAACTTCCTTCTCGCTTGTCTCGTACACACACCTGCCAAATACACACAAATATAAATTGTAAACACAAACAAACAACTATCAGAAAAAAACAACAGACAAGAAACCGATCTAACTACATTGTAAACTCTTTTTACAAAGAGAAAACTGCGTTGTAAATTATTTTTATAAAAATAAACTCATGAATCGAAAAAAGGCATTTTTTTCAGCAGAGAATCTTGGATTTTTTCTAGCGTATTAACAGCTTTGTTCATGCTTATGTAATGAGGGTTGAAAAAGGCAGAATATCTAATCAGTTTTTCATTCAGTTTGAGTGGTTTGATCATTCCTATAAGCAACTTTTTGTGACGTATGACGCGTGGCTGATCCATACGAAAGACTAATTTAAAAGCGAAACTTTTCAGCTTTTTTCACACTATTTGCAAAAAAAATATTCCAAACCGGCTGAGATTTAAACCTTTTTAGAAAAAAAACGTTAAAATGGTCTGCTCTATTTTTGATTCTTCATCGGTACAGATGAGATATAATTTCGAGAACAAAAAAACTGTTCACCTTAATCTTGTAATGGCCATTCTGTTTTTTATAGCTTATGGCTTTGCGTGAAATAAAACGAAGAGAAGAGTTAGACCTTGCGACGAGGATATCGGATGGTTCAATTAGCATATCAGACACATTGTAGAATGTCTGTTCTTCTTGAGGACTCTTCACCCCCAATGTCATCCACACTTTGTTCGCGTACTGGGGACCCTCAGAGCGATAGCTCATATACCTGCACAAAAAAAACAAGCAATAAGAAACAAAAATGACATGAACTTCATTTTAGCGTTTTTTCCACATGATATCTTTATGATTAAACCTACTTGTTAGCTAGTACTGTTCAAAACAAGATGATTAGAACACTGCTGTACAAGTAGCGCACAAATTTTTCCATCACGGTCATTGAAATTATCACAAAACAAAGGAAAAAGAAGGAGAAAAAAGATGTTTTAAGGATTTTTTTTCTAATTTTTGAACCAATTTTTTTTACCGGTTTCATGGGCAGCAAACACACTAAAACTAAATAGATTGACATTAAATAACAGTAGGTGTTTAATGGTCAAAGAACTCCGACAACATAGCGTTTCAAGGTATTGAAAATTAGTCGGAAAATTCCCTGTATGAAAAAAATTCTGAACAGAGCCAACAAACGGAGGAGAACTCGATTTAAATCGAGGAGACCAAAAAATGTGTTCACTCATTTTCAAAATTTTTTCAAATCATTGTCAAAGCTCTTGAAATTTCAAGAATGAATTATGAATCGCTTTTTGATAAAATGATTCAATTAGAGAAAACTGGGTCAATATGTATATATTTTATTGCCCTGTGAGATCTTAGTACTAAAATTGACTTTTGAAACTAAAATAAATCAAGTTTTTTGTCTCCATTTGAGTTTTCGTTTCTTAGGAGCGCTTCTATGCTCCATCAATGTATTTGAATTTCAAGCGCTTCAAAGTATTTGTATTCAATGCGTCCATTGACTGTGAAAATGTAAAATAGGAACCAAATTTTTTCAAATTTCACGCTAAATTTCAAGACCCCACTGGACCCTCATTGTGGTACTCCATTTATAGAAATATCAAACAAAATCTGGTTTTTTTCCCGATATCTTAGGGAGATCAGAGCATCAAAAGCTATTATATCTTTTGTTTCCTTGCGATCTACTATAAATATGAAATCTAAACTTGAAACTATTACAAAAATGTTGCAACATTGCGATTCAAAAGAAAATTTTGCTTCAGAATGGATTTGCAATGCTCCAACTAATTCAAAAACAATTTTTTTTCCAGTAAAATTAAAAAGATAAGTCCTCAATGCCACAGAAAAACTTTTCACCATAGAAAACTTTGAAAAAAAATCCTGAGACGAAATTTGCCAAAGAGCTGGTAAAACGCATGCAGTAGCCTGTAGATATGGTAACATTTAATTTTTGCATGCTCGTTCTTTTCTATGATAAAAAAGTCAAAGTAAATCTGTGGGTGCAATGTCACTCAGATAAGAATTGACAATCAATGCGTGTTATTAGCGACTATGATTCGTATGCATTTACATACTTCCATGATCACTGTTTCAAAAAAAATCCAAAAAATGAATTGAACTTTTCAATAAACAACTGTGTTTTAGCGAGTTTAGGCAGGCCAGAGCAGTAAGTATCACACCCAAAAATTTTTAAAATAAGAATGTTTTTTTTTGTTATTTTTCAACTGTTTTTGACAGCTTCGAACAACTAAAAAAGCTGTATAAAAAATGAAGTCCCAGATTGTTTTTACTTAAAATCTTTCACAATTCACAAAATTGTTGAGCAACCAATGCAAGCCATTACTTTACAAACAACTCTTTTAAACGTTGAAGTTTAGTTTTTTGAACTAAAGTTTGATCATCTGTGATAGCTTTGCTTGATGTCCAAGGAGAAATTTAGAAACTCAAACCAAACGACGATCTAATTTTTTTGAAGCCAAGGAGCAGTTTAAAAAGTGCTGTTTTACTTAACTATGCACATACTTTTTGCTATTTATCATAACTTTCAAAAAAACCTTTCAGTTGGGTTAGCGTTTCTCACAACAAATCCGCTGATAAGACGCCCGTGCGAATGAGAGTGCACTCGGAATGCAAACGGTTTCACGGTCTGATACCTCGGTATTGATTGTGGCGAACATATGATATCCATACCATACGTATCCTTTCCAGCCTCACTTTTAGATGGAATCGAACCAGCCGATCCGAGAACCAAAACACCTGCCATGAACTTAGTTGGAATTTTCTGGTACTTGAAAATGATTCCCGAGCTGTCTGTTGCGTCCGAGTTGTCTCGAAACATATCGGCCATTTTGTAGTGAAGTTGAATCACGAGATACTGAATCGGGGTTCCTCGGCCGACTTTGAAAGACAGCTCTTTCGGTAGCTCGTAATCACCGGCCTGGAAAGCCTCGAGGAATAGAATGTTGTCATCTTCTCCACCGAGGCATATTTCACCGGGAACTAACCCTTCATTTTTCTTTCGGTCGGATCTCGACTTCATATCACCACAAGCCCATACTTCGGCGTTTGCGCCTGGTTCCCGGCAACCATATAAAATTATGTGATGCGCGACTCCGTTTCTGTCAATGGGGGAAAACTCTCGAAGATACATAGTCCCGTCTGTGAGTTTTTTAAACGTGCACACATATTGGTTGTCGTAACTTGGTCGAAATTTGGAAATTTTAATTGAATCGCTTTTGATTTTGGCAGAATGAATCAATCCAAAAAAAACTGAAACCAGTACGAGAAGTTTTACAGAAAATGATGGCGCCTGATTGTACATTTTGTTGTTGGCTTTGTTTGAAGTTGTCAAAATATCGACTAGCTTGAAATGTGGATGCAGCTATAATCAAAATTATTTTTGCCTTTTGTATATTTTTAACGAGAATCTGGAAATCAATAAGTATGCCTTTTGAAACTAAAAGCGTTGTCTTAATTAAGCTTCTACAAAACGAAATAAGAAACATAGGTCTATGGAAAAAATCAATTGAAGTTTCTATTCAACACAATTATTGAAAACTGCAGTATTGAAAAGAATTGTTTCAAAATTGAGATACATTGTTTTGGTTTAGACCTGGACTGAAAAAAAAGGATGAGTTTTGAAAACTTTAGACACAAAGAATTTACGAAAAAAATTGATGATCTTCTGAGATTTTTATAAGAGTTCTTAGCTTAAAAAGCTTTTAGTTTCGTAATATGGTACTAAATTGTATGTAAAAATAAGCAAATAAGTAGATAAAATGCGCCTGAAATTTTTTTATTCTAGTTATATTGTTCTTTTTTGTCAAACAAAGCAAATTAGCGTTTTCAAAAGGTATCTAAAACGTTAAAAATGATAATGTGCTAGACAAAAATCACCAGCTGAAAATAATTCTGAACATAGCCAACAAACAGAGGGGATTTCAAATGAACTCGAGGAGACCAAAAATTGACCACAGTTCAATCTTTTTTCTTCTCATTGTCTGTTAGAGCTCTTTTAATCTCAAGAAAAATTAATGATCACTTTTTTGTTAAACTGACCCATTAGAGAAAACTGGGTCAATGTGTAATCATTTTATTCCGCTGCGAGTTCTTAAAACTTAAACTGTTTTTGAAATAAATCCACTAAGTTTTTTGGCTTCATTTGCATTTAGCTACTGAAGAGGGCATTTCGCCTTTTTGTCGGCAACTGAATTCGAAATGAACAAAAAAATCAAGTCAAATTGGGATAAATTAAATTTGAAGGTAAAAACATTTATTTTTTTTTCGAAAGTAGAAACATAAGCAAAATTAGTGTCTTCAATACCTTCCTTGTCATTGAAAAATTGAAAATAAGACAGTTTTTTTCCGAATTTTATGATCCTTATCAAGACCCTTATTGTGGTGCCTGATTTTTTTTTTGAAAACAAAAATTAACTCAATCTTTGACATATTTTTTCCCATAGTTTGGGGAGGTCAGAGCAACAAAGGCTGTGACTTCTTTCTTTTCCTTGCCACTTATTTTGAATATGAGAAAATTGTTATAACCAGACTAACCGGTAAGTTTTGGATTTGAAATGGATTGAAAACTTCTCTTTCATTTTAATAATACATTCGCTAAGCAACCTAATTCTCGATTTTCAAATAATAAAGTTTTCACCAAGTCTTAGAAATTGAGGCAAACTATTTAAGCAATTGAACTAGAAACGTTTCACGGAAATTTTGCGACATTGCCATTCAAAAGATTAATTTGATTCGGAATGGATTCGCAGAGATCCAACCGATTCGAAAAAAAATACTTCGAGCAATTGATGCAAGCTATATTTCACGAACTAATCTCTTAAACAATCAAACGTACAATTAATTTTGACCATCTGGGATAGCTTCGATTGATGCGAAAAAAGAAATTTAGGTGTTCGAGCCAAACAATGTACTAGTTTTTTGATAGCGTAGGAACAGGTAAAAAAGCAATTTATTTGCTGCAGTAAAGCTGTTTTCACAACGGAGTTTATATTTAAGTAATCTGAGAGCTCAAATTTCCAGCAATTTTTAGTCCAAAAAAGCACATCGCTCTTTTAATTTAACTATGTTTGAGCTTTTCGCTCCAATTACTATAAGAAAATTACCTTTCAGTAGGGTTGGCGTCCCTCACAACAAATCCGCTGATAAGACGGCCGTGCGAATGAGCGTGCACTCGGAATGCAAACGGTTTCACGGTCTGATACCTCGGCATCGCTTGCGGCGAACACATGATATCCATACAATACGTATCCTTGCCAGCCTCACTTCTAGACGGAATCGACCCCACCGATCCGAGCAGCAATACACCTGCTGTAAAGTCAGTCGGAACTTTCTGGTACTTGAAAATGATTCCCGAACTGTCTGTTGCGTCCGGGTTGTCTCGGAACATACCGGCCATCTTGTAGTGGATCTGAATAACGAGGTACTGACTCGGCGTTCCTCGGCCGACCTTGAAAGATACCTCGTTCGGTAGCGCGTAGTCACCGGCTTGGAAAGCCTCGACAAATAAAAGGTTTTGATCTTCTCCGTTACTGCAAACATCACCAGGAATTAGCCCTTCGTTTTTCTTTTGGTCGGCTCTTGAGTTCATATCACCGCAAGCCCAGACATCGGCATTCACTCCCGGTGCTCGGCAGCCATACAATATTATATGATGCGCGACTCCGCTCTTGTCGCTGGGTGAAAATTCTCGCAGATACATGGTCCCGTCTGTGAGTTTTTTAGACGTGCACACATATTGGTTGTCGTAGCTCGGGCGGAACTTGGAAATACGAATTGAGTCGCTTTTGAGTTTCGCAGAATAATTCAGTCCGAATAAAACCGAAACCAGAACAAGAAATTTTACAAAAATTGACGGCGTTTGATTGTTCATTTCGTAGTTGGCTTAGTTTGAAAATGTCGAAAGATGTCGATTAGCTTGAAATATGGCTGCAGCTAAAACAAAATTAATTTTGACTTCCAGATTTTTTCAATTCGAGGAATCAAGACAAACTGTATGACTTTTGAAACAAAACTCAATGTCACAAAAAGTTTTTTCAGTCTGAACTTTTCAAGAGCTCTTAATTTAGGAAGCTATTGGTAACCAACTCGTATATAAAAATGAGCAAACATGTTGATAAAAAAGCGCATTAATTTTTTTTAGTCTAGGCATATGGTTCTAATTTGTCAAACAATACAAATAAAAACTTTTAACGGGTGTCTATTACTAAAAAATTTAAAAATAGCAGACAAAACTAGTTCAATAAAAAACCTTTCACTTTTTCATACTAGAGAGAGTTAATTCAAATAGGCACAAATTTATTCGATTTTCGTTAAGTTTCCAAAATGTTGCATAACTATTATATAACTTGACAGCATTTTTGAATAGTTTATATGGTAGCTGGTTTTTGTCTTTCCTGGTTTGCATGACGCCCATAAAGGAAATGGGTAAATTTTAATTTTAAATGATGGTTTACTTAAATTCGATTGATTACTTGTTTTCGAAAAGCTTCTGAAAATGCCCTAAATCTGATTACTTTTCACTGATTAATAATTAATCACAAACTTGAGGCCGTTTTGGGCAAATTTGTTGGCTTTTAGAAATTGTCAGTGTTTTCGATTTGCGATAACTGATGGGTCCAAAATTCCCAATCATTCCTTCAACACGTAGTCGAGGTGGAGAAATTACAGGGCTCTGACGTTTTGCTCTTTTTCCTTTTCCCCCACCTCACACTAGCATCACTTTTAAGGTGTAACGAGTGGTTTTACGAGGTTAATTGTGAAGACCAAATATGTTTGCCATGGCCTTATTATTCCGTATGCCAATTTTCATTACAATCGAATAATATGAACAAGTATGAACAAGTTTTTCACTTGTAAAATTTTGCGGGTGGTGGGGAAAGGTAAAAGAGCCTGACGTTTTTCAAATATAAATTGATGGCCCCCTATTTCCTAATTAATATGTTAGTTGACCCAAGTTTTATCACGTACTTGAATTGCATGTGGTGAGTTTTTCAAAAAGAATGAACAAAAAAAATCACTTATCTGTCCTCTTTCTCGAAATTTAATTTTTTTTGTATACAGAATAGTAGAACAGAAACCCTGAAAAGCGGTTAAAATTTGCCTCGATTTCCTTCATTTTAATTTTTTATAACCAATTTGGCTCAAACTCTGAACAAATTTAATTTTTTGTTACGGTGATACGAAAAGATATGATTCCGTTTTGATGCAAAAATGAAGCTTTTCAGTTCGATTTCAATCGAATGTAAATCGAGCTAAACTTGTTTTTTTTTCAGTTCTGATTTTAGTGACAAAAAAAATTGATTTGTTTCATTTTATATCAAATTTCATCCACTTCTGTGTAATCATTTTCTGCAGATTTCAAAAAGCGTATTCTCCTAACTTTTGGCCTGAAAAAAAAACTATGAAGTTAGCTAATATGTAAATTTCATGCACCATAATTGAAATGTTTAATTTGAGTTTTTTTTTAATATGCCATCTGTCTAAGAAAGTCGCACCTAGAACGTTGATTTACAAAAAAAAACATTTTCATAAAAATTGCTTAATTTTACTTTTCATTAACGCAGAAACATTTAGATTTGCAAAACTTAAAAAGGATTCTATTTAATTCGTGTATTTGTAATAAAATATCCTCCTCAAGTGACCCTTGCTCTTGGTAGTCCTGATGTGGAGGTTTTTCTTGAATACAAATTTTTGATCAAGTTTCGATACAATAAAAATGATTAATTTAAAAGAACTAGTTTTATGAGAAAGAAGAGTTTTGTTTGAAACGTAACGAAAAATTAAATCAATTTTGGTTGAGATTTGGTTGATTTCACTAGCATAAAAAAAAATCTAAACAAATTGATGGAATACAAATTTTTAGAGAAAAAAATTTTTTCTTTTAAATGTAAGACTTCGTTTAAAACCATTCTAAAACAAATTACGCTTCTAAATGGGCTACCGTAAATCAAATACTATACAGTATGAAATATGTATAAAAGTTTATCTAAATCGAAATCAATCTCAAGTTTGTCAGTACGGGCAGTCTTTAATTGTTCCCATCGTTTTCCAAAAAGAAATTTTTTGCAAAGTATACGGAACTCTTAGTTACATTTTTTTTGAAAAATCTGCTTAAATATCGTGTAATTTAAAAAAAATAAGTTTAACATTGCCAGATGGTTTGAGCCATGCAATGAACTGAACTAAATGTCAGCTTGTGGGTATGAAATATGAAGAAAAGAATGAAAAAATCGCCTCTTTTTTCCATTTTTAGAACAATCGGCCATAGTGAGAAAAATTTTACACGCTAAATTTTGTAGGTTGGGATGTGGAAAAAAGCCAAAAAAAACAAAGTTGGATGTAATTTTGCTTACTTTTGATCGATTCAGGCTAAAACTGCATGAGGCCAAAAAACACCCACACTCAGTAATGAAAACGTAAAGCTGTTTATAGCAAATTAGCGAGGAAATAAATCAAATTATAAATCCAAGGGAAAATACACAACGAAGTTGAGTTTTTTGGGGAAATTGGTCTAAAAGAGGAAACGGGTTTTACAACAGGAGCACCAAAAAGCAATGTTTAAATTGGTACTACATGCACATGTGATAAGATAGCGTGAATAGATACAAACTAAGCGTGCTGCTAGCCGAAAATCAAATGTGTTACCATGTCATTAGGCCAAATTAATTTGCACTTTTTAATGCAATTTTTCAGATCTTAGCGTTAATATTGAGATTTTTCATTAATTCTCAGCACAAAACGAGAAAATGTACATCAAAAATTACTTGATGTTAAGATGGCCTATTTTAGTTGTGACCTTTTATGACTAATTTTTGGTTTACTGATACGGTGGCTCTGTGAACAGACTAGAATCATAGATATGTGCTCTAGATAGGAAAAAAGATGGCTTGATAATCAGGGGCAGAATGTATATTTCATTTCCCTTATCTACTCACGTTCAATTTCCACTTTTTCCTTGTTTCCTTTTCAATCTTTCGGGTAATATTTGGCCCGTGACGTACCCTTAAATGGGACTCCAATTTGTCTGTTACGTGGAGAGGTAATAGTCGGAAATCAAAGAGAAAAGAGAAAATTTCAATTTAGAATGCAAATGGAAAAACTGAACAAAAAAACGTGGATTTTTGTCTAGTATCTAAAGTTCACCAATACTATTTTTGTTTGTTGATTTTTGTTTGTATCAACATAAAAATAGTGTGTAGCTATGTTTGGTAATTATGGCGCATATCTTTACAAAAGATAAAATAAAAAAACAAATGAGTTTGAGCTCAAGTGTTCATTTTCAATCAGAAAAATGGTAGCCTTTAGTTTAACGCGGACAGGTAAATATATATAAAATTAAAAGCCACTGACGTAATAGAAATTGTTTATGTCGGTATATTGAAACTGTACAATAGATTGGTTATATAGATTCGGCGAGATTGAGATTTACAGGTAGTGAAAAAATGTACAGAAAAACAGGGAGAGAAAGAATTAAAAAAACATAATATACGGGATTAAAATAACAAGAACACATTTTTTCTTGTTTCTCAATTTGCTATACGTTTTTGTTTCATTTACTAGCAAATAAATATTTATGAAAAAGAGTGGCTGTTTTTTTTCTCCACTTTATTAAATTAATATGTAACTGGATTCGGTTTGAGAGTATGCCAGGAGTGAAAGGGGAAAGGGCGATTATCGGTCTTGCTTTCGATAAATTGCTTTCAAATTTACCTGAACTCGGAAATTTACATTGCTTCCAAATTTAATCTAGAAAAAAAATTAGGAAAAATTTTGACCAGTTTGGTTGAAGTAAAAAAGTCCAAATGTAAAACAAGGGTAGCTAGTTACTGTGCAAGTAGCACAGAATACTCCGACCATTGTTGTTAAAAAATACAACAAAAATGATTTTTCTTATTTGTGTAGTTTTTCTGCGTGGTGTGATATTACGTAAAAATACAAATTAGGCATATTCAACAGTCATAGTAATATTAATAATACAGTCAAACATTCAATCAATGGATTTTTTAAAAGGTTCGTCAGGTAATCAGAAGCCAGAGTAACTGCAAACTTATCAAAACCAAGATGTCTGATCCTTATTTTCAATTACGGCTATATAAAATTAATAGCAATAGGTAGACAACCTACCAAACAGACAGACCAAGTGGCAGAAACGTTTATAATCTCAATTTATTAGATCATTTTTTTCCGAAAAAAAGAAACTATCAAATGAATCACTGGCAAGTTTTAAGCGGTTTTGATGCAACTAATTATATCTAATTATAGGAGTGCTAATATATATAATTGATTTGAGCTTGCAAAATTGTTAGGTAGAAATACATGTTTCTAAAACAATAAGCCGCTGATTATGCATTCGCTTTAGTCAAAGAGATTTCGAGATCGGTGAAACTCAAGACCGCTTCAGTTGAAGAGTTGATTAACTCATTCACTAGTCAAATCTATTGATTTGAATAGCTGTTTTGTTGAAATTGTTCAGATTAATAGAATTACCTTCTTTAAAGTTGCAAGTTCGATTTATAAATTGTTTTATTTCAAATTTTCAAGAACAATAAGCTGCAGAACGTTTCAATTATGATTGTTTATTGCGATTAACATTACGAGGCCAAACTGTGCATTTTGTGTGTTTTTAGAGGATTCCGCAACAGGTCAAAAACAGAATTGTTTTTCTTCATTGATCTTCTTTGCTGTTTTGGATTCCACAGAAAAATAGCTAAAACACTGTTTTGCTCAAAATTGCTCCAAATACAGGCAACTTGCGGAATCAGCAACAAAATTTGTGGAACTCGCAACTAAATTTGTGGAATCCGGAACAGTTTGTGGAATCCACAAAAAAAATATGTGCTAAGTAAAATTAAGCTGTCTTGGAATCCGCAACTGTAAGTGGAGCCCGCAAATTGTAGGCGGATTCCGCAATAGGGAGCGGAATCAGCAAAAAATTGTAAAATTCACCTAAATTTGCTGAGTTCGCCTTCATTTGTGGAATCAAGAACAACTAAAAATATCGCTCATTGCAGAAACCGCAACAAAACTAATGTGCAGACAAACTTCCTGTTAGAGATATTTGTACGTGGAACCAACGGAAGTTTTGTAAGTGAATTCCACTTACATTTTAGAACGAATCTAAAGACTTGTCTCTGGAATCAAGGAACACACATACACCAAGTTGTGCGCCTATCTGATGTGCAGTTTGGCCTCGTGATAAACTGTACACTACAACCATTTTGAAAGCGTGAAATTGGCATTGACTCGATTTTTCTTTTGTTTCTTATTAAATTGCACTCAATTTTTATGGGAAAAATTTCGGAAAATTATGTGATTAGCCATGGAAGGTTTTTCACAGAGACGGGTTGTCTTTTTACATGCAAAGTTGCTTGTGTCTATAGATTTTTTGATGATTTTTTAAAAAAATTTTCATGTTGCGCCTAGATTAATTCATTGAAATCATAAATCAGCTTATGTAGCAATTACCGCACAGCACATCTTGTATTTAGATCTCACAAATTGTTATCAGAGTCCAGAAATTACGCCATTAATTCGCAATGTGTATGAAACTTTTTTTATAAAAGACCTTAATGGCTAAGCTAGATTTGATAATTAACAAATTCAAGGATTACCCTAGAACTCATTCAATTGTGTTTTCAATAGCCAAAAAAAATCCATACGAGCAACGCAAACACAAGCATTGTAGCCCATATGTTGTTAATATGAAAACATAAGTAGCAAAATCTGGCTTTCTTCTTGCACTAACTCGTGATTTATGGTTTAGTTAGTTTCATAGTTTCACATATATGTCCCATTTGATTTTTTTTAATTGTTCAGACTATCGAAAAAAGTGACGGATTATTTGTGCTCGGGATGATTTTTTCTCCAGACAAATTTCCACTTTTTAACTAGCCTTTTTTGACGAAAGTTTTCAAAACTAACTAAAGGGTATTGTCTTCTGGAACTCAATTTTGATTAAATAATTCACCTGTGATTATTTTTCGTAAAGTTATGGGAATTTAAAGATGGTCAATTTCGCCAATTTGAGAAATTTAACTCGCGATATATTTTGTGCTATTATCGCGTATTTAAACCGTCTTTGAATTGTGGTATGCTATTTGATCAATTTGATCTATTTAATTAGTTTAATGTATTACTTTGTACTTTAAATTGCGTGTGGGACAATGAATGTCGCAAAAATTATCTGAAATTTTTTTTATTATTATTTTTTGAATGTTTCGTCAATTTTTTCTAAAGCAAGCACTACTACATAGAGATTAGAACGTTGTCAAAACATTTAGAGCTTCACCTTGATACGAGCAGTTTTGTATGTTTTTGGCTTCCAAAAAAAAGTTACTTTTTGTTGATCAATTAGAAGTTCGCGAAATAACTGATATGCTACAAAAGTTAGTGAGAACTAGGTTAAAATTGTGGAAATTGATTCTTTTTAAATATCTCAACACAAGATGAGAATTCTGCAAATAGATAAGTTAGTTTTTCCAAATTCGGGTATCGTGGAACTACGCAAGGCGTAACTTGTATCAATGCAAACATGAAATACATCAGTGTATTTTCAGTACGCATTGATTCAAATTTAAGCCTTGCTTATTTTCATGGAATCCGTATTTAGAAAAAATACGGCTCGTTGTCAACCAACGAAAGCGGTGGTTGAAACCATTAGTTCTATGGACACCAGATTGAGTGCTCTATAAAAATAAATGACCGAAAAATGTCAAAATCTTCAGGAGCCGCAGAGTCAACCTCATATGTTTGTTAAAGGAAGCCCAAAATTTTTGAATGCAAATAAAAGTATATAGAGGTGGAGCTAATTTTTGAGAAGCTTTGCTTTCTCTGAAAACACTTCAAGAGTCTTCGAAACCAATGAACTACGTACATTTTTTTTTCATTAAATTTCTTTACAAATTGTGAATGCGGTAGTCCAGACGCACATACAAAAACCATACTAATTTGGTAGTGACGTGCTTTTATAGCAAAGCGGTGCATGTTTTATACAAAACTTTTAAGAAACAGATTCCAGTGAAAACAAAAAAAAATAAAAAAAGAGAAATAGTAGTAACAAAGCAGCTTGAGTATGTGTTAATGATATATCGAGATATATATTCGAAAATTATAACTTTTCAAACTGCAACTCGTACAAAAGTTTGAATTGCACGTTTTACATGGCTCGTTCCATCTACGTTTGATACGCTTAGAAAGAACAAAAAAACTCAAGTGGAAATCAGCCGCCAAATCTAGTATTTCAAAATTCATCGAAGAAAACCTGGAATAACGCTTCGCATGCTTTTAACATAACTTGTTGCTTGAATTATTTTAATGAAAATTGTTCGCTGTTTTTTGAAAATCAAACTAGACTTTTTGAGGATTGGAAATTTTGATTTATGAAATAAACGAACGCTTTTTACATACTTTCTTTTGTAGGTTGTGCTTAGCGAGAGTAGTTATGCATCTACAATGATGAATAACTTTTTCAGAGTTTTAAATCCTAAGAAAAAACTGTTTCGTGGAAAGTTTTAAGTACCAAATCTTTGTGGAATAACGTGGAAAAGTTTAGATGCCAAGTTTTTACTATAGATTGACGGTTTGTTTTTATGCTAAAGAAGATGTAAGGAATAATTTTTTCAACTGTAAAATAATTTCAAAAAATTATTTGTTTTCAAGAAAAAGAGGCGATTTTCAAAAATAGACCCAAACAATTTTCCCCGTCCTCAGCTGAATCTACTCCTAAGCGTGTCCTTCCTTGACACACTCATACCTGAAACTTCAAGTCTCCAAGAGCCACTGGCGTCTTAGGCCAGTTAAGAAAAAAAAGTATCATCGACTTGTTCTATACTTCTGCCATCTGAGCAAGCTCTCCAATCATCATAGACACATACGACTACGACTTCAGCTTATTGGAGAGATACCACGACACCACGTTTCCTTTTCAAAAAATCAAGTATCAAAAAAACAGTCGCACAAAATTAATACGACGATAAGTTAGCCTTAATTCAATTTGGAACATTTTTTGGCAATTTTTTAACTCTGCAAAAAATGATCGGAGGTACAATATATTTTTTATAAATTTGCTTTTAAAGAAGTCATTTTTCAATTTTGCAAGAAATGATCGGAGGTACAATATTTTTTGTAAAATTGATTTCAAAAAGTGAAAATCAACAATGGCGAAAAAAAATTTTTCGTTGAAAACTATTTTTTCGATCGCCAAACATTGACTGAATAAAAAAAAACACATCAAGCATAAACATTTCTTTTTTTCTACAGTTGAAGCAATCATTCAAAAAAAAAACTATGATCTTCTCATGAATAAGATATTTTTGAAAAAGTGAATCAAATTGGATCATTTGAAG